CCCACCCACCCCTTGCATGCATCCCGTTTCGGTACAGTGCCACGTCAGCAGTGCCAGATCAGTTGTGCCACGTCAGCAGTGCCACGTCACAGTGCCAAGTCACAGTGCCACGTCACAGTGCCAAGTCACAGTGCCACGTCAGCAGTGCCACGTCACAGTGCCAGATCAGCAGTGCCACGTCCGCAGTGCCAGGACACAGTGCCACGTCAGCAGTGACGTTCAACACAGTGCCACGTCAGACAGTGCCACGTCAGCAGTGACGTTCAACACAGTGCCACGTCAGCAGTGCCACGTCAGCAATACCACGTCAGACGTAGTGCCACATCAGCAGTGCCACGTAAGCAGCATTGCCACGTCAGCAACATGACGGGCCTGCCAGGCCAACTGGCCAATGAGACCATTAACGCCTACAAGCAGCGTTGCCTCGCTCAGATAGAGGCTGAGGAACAACGCCTGCTGGCAGTCGAGGCTGCCYGCATACAAGCTGAAGAGGCAGCAGCAGCAGAGAAACTGCGGCTACAGGCCGATGCAGAAGCAGATGCCCAGGCTCGCCGAAAGGACGCCCAGGATCTGCTGCAGCGGCATGAAGCCAACAGCATCGACAGACTCAAGTACTGGCATTTTCAACCGAACGGCGACGAGGCAACACCGGAAGAAAAGCACAAGGAGTTCCTCTCCAAACTCTTGACACGGTTGTTGTATGCTTGCAACTACCAAAGGTCAAAGTTGGAGAGACAGCATCAGGAATTGGCGACGCTCCGCCGCACAGTGCAGAGCCACGAGGATGCAACTCGGGCACTCAATGCCCGATTGTTGGACCTGGAACAGACAGTACCAGGACCAGCTGCGGGAGCTTCCAGCAGTGCACCCTCAAGCCGCCAACTGAAGGACCGCGTTGACCACGTAGTGGCAATGCTCGGTGACATCAGCACCTTCGCTGCGCCGACCACCACCATCAGCAGTCAGCTGCACACATTGAAGACCGAGGTCCAGAAGCTGCAGTCGACGAACGCGGACGACAATCCAAAGATGTACAAGATGCCAACTTTCAACCTGGAGAGGTTCGACAACTACACGCAGCAGGATCCTGTCCTCTGGTGGGAAGCATTCACAACGCAACTCAGGATTCTGCCAGTAGCCAAGCATGCGTACATCGGCGCCCTGTCCCTGAACTCAAAGGGCGGATGCCAGACCTGGTTGAGCCACCTGGCAACCTCCCACGGCGTCGACGTACCAGACTTGAAGGACGTAATCACATGGGAGGAACTAACGCGACTGTGGAAGAAGCGGTTCATCGTCCACGACGCGCCGACGCTCGCCATCAACCGTTTGTTCACCATGTCACAGGGCAACACAGCAACACGGGACTGGCTCACGGAGTGGCAGAAGACTGCGGCTGTGCCCAATCTGAACCTACCATTCGAGCATCTACGCCGTGAGTTCTACAACAGGTCCTGTGCGGCATTGAGCCAGGCTCTTGGTGATCGCGAGCAGTACTCAACCTTCGCGGAGATCATTGACAAAGCGAGGGAGATCATCAAGACCAACAGGTCAGCTGCACACGAGAAATCAACATCATGGTAGCCGACCTATGTGGAGAAGGTACGAACTGGTCCGCGACAG